CCGCAGGTACGTCACGTCGTGGATCGACAAGCGCGACCAGCCGTCAGAGAAGGCCAACCTCCTCATCCTGTTCGACAAATACGTGCCGCCCACCCTGGAGGCGCTGCGCACCAAGTTCAAGAAGATCACGTCCGTGCCCGAGATCGCCCACGTCAAGATGTTGTGCGACCTGCTCGACTGCTTCCTCACCGACAAGAACCTGTCCCCGGAGTGCCCCAAAGAGTGGTACGAGATCTACTTCGTCTTCAGTTGTGTCTGGGCCTTTGGCTCGGTCCTCTTCCAAGACCAGGCGAGTCCCCGAGCAGTCCGAGGACTAAAACACTTTAACGCGCGCTATATCTGCCACGAAGCACTTTTTCACGGTTTCAAAAATACCGTTTTTTAGTCGAAATGGATAAAATGGGCTGTAAAAAGTTATGGTAGGCGGTCTACACATATTCACCGTTTCAGACACACCACACTCCAAATTAATGCACTAGGGGTTTTTTTTAATGTCAAATATGAATTAATATAATTATGAAGTAATCTCGACATATACTGGCGTAGAAATTTAGCTGGTTTAGCCCGTAACAATCACTTTTATGTTCCCCAGCTTGTCGACTGGAGGAACGAGTTCAGCAAGTGGTGGGTCCAGGAGTTTAAGGTGGTCAAGTTCCCCCCCACCGGGACCGTGTTCAACTACTTCATCGACCCGGACACGAAAAAGTTCCTGCCTTGGAGTGAGAGTATCCTGCCCTACGAGTTCGACCCCGAAACTCCTCTGCAGGTAAAGTTACTTCACCGACAGGCGGTTGTCTTCCACTGCCCCCCACCCTTTTCCCGGAGGCTGATGACACTTCTTGTGCCACAGGCGACGCTCGTGAGCACCTCCGAGACGACACGCCTGCGCGTGTTCATGGACCTGCTGCTGCCGCGCCGCATCCCCGTCATGCTCGTGGGCGGCGCCGGCTCGGGGAAGACGGTCATCGTCAACGGCCGGCTGGGCAAGCTGCCCGACAGCTACATGGTCACCAACGTGCCCTTCAACTTCTACACCACGTCAGGTTGGCCGTCCTGAGCCATGTGCTTAAACGAACACGGGGTATCATATGTGTGTGCATCACTGAAATTGCGGTTATGGGTAATGTGACGACAAGGAATAGTCCAGAGAGTACGTGCCTCGTTCACCGTTACGAAAGTGCCAAGTTCACCCTGCGGAAGCTCTCATAGCGCCTGCTGGGTAGGCAACATCTCGCCTGCAGTGCATGCGTGTACAGCGGGTAGGCCTACCCTGAGTCTCGCAGGCGCCGAGCTCCCGTAATTTGCGGGTAAAAAAGAACGGACGTACTCTCTGGACGATCCTAAAGGGTGTCGAATAAATTGGGAAACAAATTGTAAAATAATGTATGCTTAAGTAAGTCTTAAACCAAAAATTGAAAAGGATTCCCTGCTAATGTTTTTTTTTAATGTATTTTGTTCGTGTGGCTTGCCTCGACCCACAGAGATGCTGCAGAAGGTGTTAGAGAAGCCCCTGGAAAAGAAGGCGGGCAGAAACTTCGGTCCACCCGGCAACAAGAGCATGATCTACTTCATCGACGACATGAACATGCCAGAGGTATGAATGAGCACCCTCTAGCCAGATACACAGCCGCGTCGCCGCGTCACTGCACGGAAAAGTCATCGCTGTCGCCCGTACCTGCGCAGGTGGACAAGTACTTCACGGTGCAGCCGCACACGCTGATCAGGCAACACCTGGACTACAACCACTGGTATGACCGCGGGAAGCTGACGCTCAAGGACATCCACAACTGTCAGTACGTGTCGTGCATGAACCCCACGGCCGGGAGCTTCACCATCGACCCGAGGCTGCAGCGGCACTTCTTCGTCTTCGCTGTGAGGTCAGTCAGTCAATCACGCCAAAACAGTTATTGAAAAAAAAAATGTGTGCAGTCCGCGAGCAACCTGCTGTACCTCACCATTTCAGCTTCCCTGGAGAGGAGGCGTTGAACCACATCTACGCCAGCATCCTGCACGGCCACCTCACGCAGTCGGCCGTCAAGTTCAACCCCGCCGTGTTGAAGCTCGTACCCTCGCTCGTGCAGTCGGCGCTCTTCCTGCACGCCAAGATGACCACCACGTTCCTGCCGACGGCTGTCAAGTTCCATTATCAGTTCAACTTACGAGATCTGGCCAACATATTCCAGGTATATTTTATTTTAGTCGTAAGATTCGTTAGTTGCAGTGTTTGAATCCGCGCGGACGAAAAGCAAAATAATCGCCGCGTTTGTGTTTCTCCTCCGACAGGGCATCTTGTACAGCACGCCGGACTGCGTGCCCGACCACTCGGCGCTGGTGCGGCTGTGGGTGCACGAGGCGACGCGCGTCTACCACGACAAGCTGGTGGACGACCCGGACCGAGACATGTTCAAGAAGCTGATGCTGGACTCCGTCAAGAAGATAGAGGTGCGATCGTGTACATCCCCCCTCCTCTTACCCTCTATCCTAGAGAATGCTCCGTTTTTCGTCTCAGTATTTCAAGTTAATGCGCCCCCCC